AGTAACGTTACATGTTATTATTGGCTCACTAAACGTACGTGCTTCGTTTCCACCTGAAAGATAACATCCGAGTAGGAATATGAAAACATATTTGAACCTTTTACCCAGCAGCGGGTAGATCGCTGCTGTTTTGGAGACTCCTCCTATACATTTGTTGATTTTAATATTTGGATGTCTGCAGTGTTGGAAGAAGTACTCAGATCCTTTGTTTAAGTAAAAGTACAAATACGATGGTCTTCAAATACTCCATTAAAAGTAAGAAGTTAGTTACTGAAGTAAAAATTCAAAGTATTGGCATCAACATAAACTTTATGTAAAAGTACAATATGTTAAAATTACTCTGAACAATGGCCCATTACAGAATAAGATGTTCAATAATAAGTGCTGAAGAATGACTGTATACGCTAAATGTACTTCAAAAGTAAAAGTACTCGATGTGTAGAAAATATATTTTCACAGTATTATTAGGATTATGGTTCTTAAAATACTGTGTAATATTTAGCACAGTACTGCATTATACCATATCAGCATATCATGTGTTTTTTATACGCACACAATAACTGTGAGTGTTATAATTTATTAATGTAGTGAAGTAAAACGATTATCACATTTGCCTTGTCATTTAGCAAAGGAGAAGTATAGAGCATAAAATGAAAATATTCAAGTAAAGTCCTGGTACCTCAAAATAATTCTTAAGTAGAGTACTTAAGTAAATGTACTCTATTACAGACTGGATGTCTCAAACTCAAAACTCAAATAATACTGTATAGGCTACATATTTTTGTATGCTTTTGGAAACCTTAATACTGAAAAAAGGTTAAAGTTGAGAGATTTTTCGAAAGAGTAATTTACCTGTACATTTAAAACACTCAGCTCTCAACCTGAACAACACTTTAATGCCTCTTAATATTGTCCATTGAATCAGGTAAGGATTTTCACAAGGACCCCTGTGAGTCATAGTCACTGTGGTTACTGTCCCAGGCTTTGTTGTTACAGGTCCCAAAGTTGGTACCACAGAGGATTCAGTTTGTCCTCTGGGTTGCTTCTATTCAAGTCAATATGTAATACACTGTAACATAACATCACATTTCTCAGTTTGAGTGTCTGTTTCTGTCTCAGTGCAGAACTGTAGCTTAAGTGCAACATCTCCATAAACCTATTTTATATAACTCTCTCATATTTCTGTCATACATGGAGTTTTTTACCTCAAGCAACATTCTGTACATTATCACATGTATAACAGTGAATCAGGGCAAATGTTATAGTGCAAGGTACAGTTATATTACACTGTACTAAAGCCCTTAATTAGCTAGCCGTTAATTTGAACACAGCTATCACTCAGAGAAATACTAAATATTTAAATATAAAACCTTAAGGCTATTTCTATGTGTATTTCATCAATATGATTCCCTTTTAAACTACACAACTTCTTTGCAATAAAATAGTATTCCACATGATAGAGTTCATATAAAGTTCCTGTGGTTGTGCCTTTGTTTAGGCTGCGTCCTGCCCCCTGGTGGAGGGTCTGTACCTGCAGGAAGCAGACAGCATGCTGCAGCTGCTCTGCACCCCCTCCCAGCATCGCACAGACATCCTGGCATGGATCTGCAGCAGGTACAATAAGACACATGTTACATCTGTTGTTTTATATCAGAAATCATTTGCTAATAAGCTATTCCTTTTCCCTATCTTGACCTGTGTCTTTACAGTATTAACCCAACCTTTGCCTATTCCGAGGCAATATCTCTGAGATCCAAACACCCAGAGGTTCGGATTAAAGGTAACATTGATGTCTCTAACAGTACACAACTAACTGCCTCTTGATGGACACTTATAGTCATTCTGCTGTGGTCTGTAATACAAACAGAAATGTCTGTGCTGGGGCAGGAGCTGATGCTGTGCAGAGCAGAGGACCTGGACCTGATCAGGGTGAGAGGCTGCATTAAACAAGTGTTCATGTAGTCAGTTAACATATATAGATATTCATAATGTCTTACAATCAAGCATGTCACAATAACAACTTTTTATTCATGATAAATTGCCCAATAAGTTCTTGCAATATATAATATCATATTTGTTTTCACACCTTTTTAAGAGCCATGAAAAACACACTTTTATTCTTAAGATATTTAGATGTTGGAATTTGAATAAAAATAAATTATTAAAATACTTTTTTAATAAAAAATCCAACCATACTACTCTTAGACACTGTCAACAGATAGAACCTTCTCATGTTACAGAAATCCTCAGTTTTTATCTGTCGGCTAAGTGAAATTCTTATCTAAAACCAAAAGGGCAACATCAAGGTCATTTTTTATACATTGTATAATATATGAATTCAATACTGTAAAGACCTAGTCATAACAAACAGTAAAGGTCTTGTTTCGTCTGTTTAATTTATCAAACCATGTCTCCAGGGTGATGCGAGTTCTCACCGGCAGCTTCGGTTCCTGCAGCAGCTGCTGTCTTTAGTTCCTGCCTGCGTGAAATCTGCTGGGCACAGAGCGGATCAGGAGCTGCTGCTGAACGAGCTCTACGCTGCTGAGAATCTGCCCCACTTCACACAAATGCTCGCACCAGCCCTGGACCCCTGGCCTGCACACATCAAGTACGTTGCTGACTTTGAGCAGCCGGCTGCACACACATTATATCCCTTCACTCGGTATTTATCTGCTGCATGTTGTCATTCTCTCCTCTTGATTTTCTTCCAAAAGAGTGGTGCAGTGATGATGTATCTTCTGGAACATTCAGAAGTTTAGAAAATCCTTCTGTAACCAATGCCATCAGTGTGTCACAGTCTTGAGAGAGCTCTTTGCTTTTCCCCACCATGAGATGTTTCTTGTGTGACTCCTCAGTAAGGGGGCACCTTTTTATAGGCCATCAGTTGGGACTGAACCAGCTGATATTAATTTGCGCTGACCAGGGGCAGGATTCCTTTCTGATTAATGATAGACATCAGCTGGTGTCTTGGCTTTCCATGCCTTTTTGCACCTCCCTTTCTTCATGTGTTTAATACTTTTTCCCCGTGTCATTCCATGTTATTACACATAGCTTATTTTCGGAACGTATTTGTTTTGGTTTCCTTGCATGTGTGAAATGCATAGGTTCTTACCGACATCTGATGAACATGTAATGTCAATAGTACCTTTTAGAAATATATTTAATGAGAAAAATGGTGACGTGTTCAATACTTATTTTACCCGCTGTGTGTGTCTCACTACCATTCCTTACTTCACAGGGCTTTACGCAACAGCACCAAATCATCGTCCCATAGATCAAGTAGAGAAGAGGCTGCTGATGTAGCTGCTCTTTTACAGCAGGCTCAGTCTACACTGGAGAAGCTGCAGTCAGAGGTATGTGGTCAAGTTGCAGCACAAATATAGAGCCTTCAATTGAAAGGTCTTGTATCTTTATTAGGATCCACATTAGCAGCAGCATGAGCATTGGCTATTCTCCCTGGGGTCTACATGCAAACAGTCAAACACACATTTAAACACTAGCCCCCCAGCTTCAGCACAGAGACCCACGTCTTCCAGAGGATACACCAGCTGCTGCTGGCCTTCATCATGGTACTCATACATCTGTTGAACAT